TAGGAGCTTGTGTTCATGTGCAGATCCTATCTACTTTACAGGTGTCACACCTTAAAAGGGAAGCCACTATATTTTAATGCAGTCTGATTATAGTGTGCTTTAGAAACAATTGGCATAGAATTGAGGATTTGGAACTTTTTTTGGTTGTGAAAGCAATTTCTGTTTATAGCAGTGTTTACTGTGTTGAAATTTAAGATGTAGTTTGTTTAATAATTCTTTATCATTGCAAATTGGTTTGTTTAAATTTGTTTTGTGTGTGTGGTCCTGTTTTCTGAACCCAAGGCCTTGCACATGCTACACAAGTGCTTTACCACTGACCACACCCCCAGTTCCAAATTATCTTGAAAGTGCACTGAATTGTGCATTTATTCTGCTTAATAGACATTTTCTACTGTATTGTCTTAAGTATATTTGTGATCATGGATAATGTGAAAAAAACATATTGGCATTGATTTCCTTATTTATAAAGGCTACTGTAGACCTGATTATGAAAATATCTAATATTGGTCTAAATATGATTCATTTAGAGTGATTGATATCTGTGAGATTTGTGGCTGAAAGGAAATGCAGTATGTAGAATAATTAATCAAATAATTGGTTGAAATCAATAAAGTAATTGAGATGAAAAATCACAATTACTCATTATCTCAGAAACCTCAACCAACTGTCGCAAAACATATTTACATATGACTTAATAACCTTTGGTTATTATCTTAATTTATTTATTATATTATTATTTAGATAATACCTGACTTTGTTAATTATGATTTTTYATGTTCAAAACTTATAAAGTGGAGTTCTGATGATCCTAAACTATCTTGGCGATCTGGTCTGATTTTGAAAGGCTGGGTGGATTTATTTCCTGCCCTGGTTAACTTTATTTAGCCAGAGCTGTGGGATAGAGTAGAGAAATTATTGCTAGTCTCACTTCACCTTCAGAACAGGTCAGAACTCCTCCAGAGGAAACATTGCTATGGCCATGTAGGGTTGGGTAAATATGCTGTGCAAAAATAAAGCAAGATTATGTCAATGAGAACCCAGGATGCTTCTGTCCTAGCGGCAGTTTAGTTAAGGAAGACTTTCTGGTGGTAATCTTCCAACTCTCTGCTTCTTCTCAGAATTCTATGTGTTATAGTCTGAAGAAATAATTCTACTTATCTAGCTATAGACCATTTCATTATTAAACATTATAAATAGAATTGATGTGGTATCCATTTTAAAGTATTTCCAGTTAACCTCTCTGTGGGTTACATTATTTGAGGAATGTCCAGGTAAAGACAAAATTGGGATTCGAATGTCAATTGTTAAATAAAGAGTGAGTAAATAAATAGATGAATGTTTGCAGAGTTGGTTCTACCAATGAATGTTTTCTTTTATTTGTGGAGTTTGTGTTGACCTGGAGAGTGGTTCTTGTTCCCAGAAAGACCCTGAGGAAAATCTCTTTTAGCTTTTGTAGCTGTCTTTTGGAGGGTAGTTCTGAAAGTTTGCATCTCGTGCAATTGATGGAGTTTTAGTTAGAGAAAAATATGTGGYCCTCCTTTTCTTAACCCTTGGCTATTTTTAACCTTCTACATTATACTTATGTTCTTGAAAGCTCCTTTTCAAGTGAATCCTTCATACATTTCTCCTGCCCTGTTTTCATACATTTCTAACATCCAGTTGTTTGAGTGCCTGGCTCTGGCTGGGATGCACATGACTGACTTAAGTTAAATGCTTGGAAGAGCATTGCTTTGTGCTTCTAGGTAGATTACATTCTCATATATTTCAGTAACCATTTAATGCTATTTAACCTTCAAAAGGGTTTACAGGTGACAGAGGTAATCATCAGCAAAACCAAGTCTCCCAGCTGTGCAGTAAGAGTAAAACTGTCGTGGAACTTCACGTCATCATTTGATGCTACATCAGGGTGCTGTGCCGACATTTAGATTTTAAAGTAGTGAGTGCATCTATGGAGGAGAGTGATCATTTGAGTCTTAAGTTTCCCATGAAAACTTTGCTGTACAGTCTTATACATAATTTTAGGTGTCCCAGATTAAAGTTTGTAAAACAAAGCATTGAACAAAACAATCACTACATTCTGATTCTTTGTGTTCTCCTGGCTGCTTTGCCACTCACTCAAGATGAACTCGCACATTTGCACATTTACCTATGTCTTGCCTACTATTCTATTTTACATTAGTTTCATTCCATGTAACAGACTGCAAAGGATACACAAGAAATAGTAAGACGATCTTTCTTTTTAAGGAGTTCTTAGGGTATCTGGCCAAGTAAATATGCCACCAAATGTTAAATAAAACAAAATAATGTATGCTGATTGCCTTTTCTTTGATCATTTTCTGGTTGTTGATTTTCTTCCTAACTGTTGATGATGTGCATATGTGGAAGGGTTTTCCACATATTGGAAGTTGCATTCCAGCCTGGACCTGGGATCACTGGTAGTGCTCTTAAGGAGAGCCTCCCAGAAGAACTTAGCGTCATGGCTGGGCCAGTTCCGCAGTGCTGCTCTTTTATTCCATTCATCATTGTTCCGGGGTTGAAAACACTTCACCTGATATGATGTAAGGARGCAAATATGCTTCCTGCTCATAGTATCCAAACTTCCTGATGCTGGAGAATACTTTTGTGAAGCTTATAAAACTACTTATGCGTGTTAATGCACTTCAGTCTTTCTGCTTTCTCTTGAATATGGAACAAGCAAGCAAYTGGAGCCAGCAGCATCAGGATGTGAGGGTTGAAGCTGCCTTGTGATTTTAGGTGTGGTCCTCTGAATACCATGTTTAGGAACTGCTACAGGAAATTCAAGGCCAGGTTCTCCTTGGCAATAGAGAGCAAATGGAGAACAAATTGTATCACTGAGTTTCTTGAGAAAAATGAAAATCATAAAAATGTATGGAGTAACAAATATTGTCTTCTAACCACACACATACACACACACACACACACACACACACATCTTTTGAGATGTCTTAAAATGCATTTTAGGACACACAAAAAATCGAATAGTTTCATCCGGGAAACCATGTTGTCCAGGGTATTATACCAAAGAACTTTTGTGTGTGTGTGGTCCTGGGGATGGACACAGGGCTGTGCACATGCTAGGCACGAGTTCTGTCACTGATATACATTCCCAGCCCCCAGAAACTTTCAACAGAACTTTTTCTTTTCTTTCATTTTCTTTTTTTTTTCATTTCTTCCCACTGAGAATGTAAGCATCTCAAATTAAGATAGTGATGAAATTGTCATTTTCCATGCATAATTTGAGAACCTTGAGTTAGTAAGTTAGGACTGCAGGCTTAGAATTGTGGCATATGTATTTTTAGGGGGACACAAACATTCAGACAAGAAGCAGAGGGTTATAAAATAAAACTGAAAATGAGAAGAGCAGTAAAATTATGGTGTTTAAGAGTTTGCTCTTCTTTTGCTAATTCAGAATAATTGCCTACTTCTCTGCTAGGTTGCTTTTTAACATTAACAGTTATTTCCGTGGAAACCAGCAACACACCTCATGGCCCCTCAGGTGTCTGTTTTTTTGTTTGTGTTTATTGATTGTTAGTGGCTGTCACACCAGAGTTTGTCACAACAAGGCTGCTTCTATTTAATTCAGGAAAATTAATATGTATAGTTACAATGACAGGCTTTTGTTAGGAGAGTAGTAAAAAGATAGATCAGATCTTCTACATTTTAAATTTTAAATTAGTGGCATTTGCCAAGTGTGCTGTTGCACATCTGTAATCCCAGCAATCTGGAAGACTGAGGCAGGAGGATTGCAAGTTTGAGGCCACTTTGGGCAATTTAGTGACCCTGTCTCAAAAAGACAAAAGGGAACGAAACAAAACAAAAAATAGCTCTGGGGTTTAACTCAGTGGCAGAGAACTGGCCTAGTATGTGTGAACTTTGGGTTCAATACTCAGAGCGTGCACCCCCCCAATTAACATTTATCTAATTATAACATTTTATAATTTATCTGCTTACAAAAAAAAGCCCTTTTTTTGTTTTTTTGGGTTTTTTTTTTGGTAGAAACTCTTTGAAACTCAGAAGTATAAAGAAGAAAACAAAAACTGTAATCCTGTTATAGAGATTATACTATTCTGATTTTGGATTTCTTTTGTCTTTTTCATAGTCTTTTAATGTGCATGCTCAATTATACACAAATATGTAACCTAAATATGTATTTTAAAAACTAAGTTGTAATGCATAATTGTGCACTTCTTTTTAAACTTAATATTATATTATCATTAATATATTATTACAACTTTTTACTTTAAAACTCTTAATGTGGTTAACATTTTTAAAAATTAATTTTGTTATTTTGACAATAGTTTCACAGATTTTGTTGTAAATTGCCAAATACTTTCCTAAAGTCTTAATCAGATTTTGTTATTTACAATAATTCTCATTTTATCTTCCACTCAAAATTAATTTTATTAAAATGAACCTGCCTAGCATGTGATAATTGAACAAAATATTATTTTACTGTTTTTTCTTTCTTAATGAAGACAAACATATATGAAGTGTTCTTTGTAATTTTAGAATAAAAATTGTAAGATTGAAAGAGTGAAAACTATTAGTTTGTCAAAAGGTAGAAAGCATTTAAAATTATATAATATCTTAATGACCTATGTAAAACTTCATATTTTCAGGGAAATTTTGCCCATGTGTAAAGGGAAGAAGAGATATGTTTAACCATTAACCAATATTCAAAGATTTAACAATTATGTAGTCTAAAATAGTGACATCTAAATGACAGATGCATGAAATTTAGATTATAATAAGTTCAGGTTTTAAGATGTAATGAGCAAAAATATTAAAGATTCAAGACTATTATTTTCAATGTGAGAGTTGTAGAAACACATGAAATTGTTATGTAAGGTAAAATGAATTATTTTGCTTGAAAGCAACTCATTTGCAAACATAAAAATCAAAGCACTATATAAAACTTCCCAGCAATGTTGACACTAAGGTCTAACGTTTGCATTCTCTCTTTGCTTTTTTCTCCTTAGGACATCCAGGCGGAAATTGATGCCCATAATGACATATTTAAAAGCATTGATGGAAACAGGCAGAAGATGGTAAAAGCTTTGGGAAACTCTGAGGAGGCTACTATGCTTCAGCATCGACTGGATGATATGAACCAAAGATGGAACGACTTGAAAGCAAAATCTGCTAGCATCAGGTCAGAATAGTTGCTATCAAAATAAAAATATTGCCGGGGGTTGATTTTTGTATATCAGAAAAAGAAAGGGCAGTCCACCACCCATGCTACCCTCTAGAAAGAGTTCAAGATTAAATGCGAAGATTGTTTTCTTTATTATAATTTTAATCTCATTTATGTTCAATCCCTTCTATTTGTTGTTCCTCACTGTTCTCAAATGTGCACATCATATTTTAAACCTCATAACAGCAATACCAAGATAGTTACCAGTACCTGTTAATTACTATTTGACTTTACTCTTTACCAAGTACTATGTTAGGATGTTTTTGTTTTTGTTTGTGGTACTGGGAATTGAACCCAGCGTGCTCTACCACTGAGCTACATCCTAGCCTGTTTTAATTATATTTTGAGACAGGATCTCACTAAATTGCCCAGGCTGGCCTTGATCTTGGAATCTGCCTATCTCAGCCTCCTGAGGAGCTGAGATTACAAGTGTGCACCACCTTTAAGGATCTTTACACACATTACGCATATAGTTATACGCCCTATAGCAAAGTTTTCTATCAAGGACTAACTGTATATATGACAATTAGATTGCCTAGTGATGTTGTGGCCATTTCAGTTTCTGTTTTCGTCCACTCTGATGTTCACACAATGATAGAATTGCCTAATGGCATGTGTCTCAGAATGTGTACCTGTTCATAAGTGATGCATGACTGTGCTTGACAAATCCTAGTAAAGTGGATGATAAAAATCCTTTCTTGCATGAGGAAATGAGATTTAATTAATATGAGGAAATTTCCAAGTTTTGTGCCAAGCCAGTATTCGAATCTTGATCTTTTTGACTCTTGGTATTAAACAAATTTTGCTTCACCATGTTGTTTTTGCATCATATTTGAAGCTGTATTTATATAGATAACATATCTCATTTAGAYACTAAAATGGAAAACTGATGATTCATGTCCATTTGGAGAGAATTAAATTAAATAAGTATGAACCTTAGGATCAGAATTCTGGCCAGGAAGAAGCCTTGAGAAATCACTCAGAGTGACAAGATGAGTGTTATTAGGGGTAAGGATTATTTTAAGGTCATATTTACTAGATGATAGATAGTTTCCAACTGGATATAAGTTTAGGGGATACTGGCTGAAGAATGGATTATCAAGCAAAAATTCCAAAGAAGATTATTTGTAGGAATTCCTAGATCACTTTCTTTTGTTATATTATGTGTTGAAACATGGACTTTAAAACAAAAGGATCTTGAACTTGAATTTTTTTTTCCTAGTACAGGGGAGTGAACCCAGGAATGCTCTGTCATTGAGCTACATTCCCAGTCATTTTTATTTTTATTTTTTTAATTTTGAGACAGGGTCTCTTAAGTTGCTGATACTGGCCTCATACTTGTGATCCTCCTGCCTCAGTCTCCTGAATAGCTGGGATTACAGGCATGTGCCATCACACCAGCCTTTAACTTGCCTCTGATTTATTCTCTTGATCTTGGGCAAATTTATCCCTCTGAAATTTACAAAATTAGAATATAAATATTTAACCCACAATATTGTTGCAAAGATTGAATGAGAAAACGATTGTTTCTTAATCTAGTTAGGGCCTSTTCAATGTAGGATCTATTTTTTTCATATACAAGGTTGGCTCAGTGGGTCTGTTTCAGGTGGCTTTAGGATTTTATGTAATGATTTCACAGAGAATAGAAATCTTCACTGATTACTAATTGTGGATGATTTTCTTAAAAACTTCTTTCCGAGAAGATGCTCTGTAATGTGTTCATTCTACTGGGCTCATTGTGAGGAATTTGCATTTCCTCTTTCTGAAGGAAAGGGGGTCATGGTAAGGACTTCCTTGTCTAAAGATCCCATTGAAAATTAGCAGCATCAGCCAACTATATATATATATATTTTTTTTTTTTTTTAAATGGGAGAAAAGTCAGGGAGTACTGTACAGTGAGAAACTGAACTTGAATAAGGCTTGAATTTTCAACTGACTAGGTCCCATTTGGTTGTAACTTTCTGTTCCTCATAWATATAAACAAATAAAAATATTAAAAGTGAAAGCATTCACTGAGGATCTAGCAAAAGCAATATCTAAGCTAAAGAACTGAAAGCCGTAGGGTTGCTTTGGTGAAGATTGTACACAAGTGCTGGAATTTTGGGAGCTTAAAGGATGAGTTCTTGAGTTAGAAGGATTGAATGGTAGCCTACATCATGAACAGATCATTCCAAGTGGAAAGCTTTGGTCCCAGAAATTGTGGGTCTTTCTTGGGAGCTCTTGCCTATCAAGTCACATTTTTTTTCTAATCTGAAAAGAAGAGCTCATAAGCTACACTTGGAATATTAACAAATAAGTAAAGCAGTTATTTTTAGATGTTGGAGACTATTATATGCTTGTTTTGGTGGACTTATGCATCAAGACAGATCAGACATTCCCACAAAATATGGTAATGAACCAATATGATAATGAATTAAAACAGTATTTAGCCTGATAACCTACCTCATGAGATTCAGGCACTTATTCAAGCATTTAATAAAAACTTACTTCTATGTTTAAGGCATCATTTATCATAAATAAAATGAGGTCCCTACCCCTAGGGGCTTACACATCTGTCAGGTGAATGTAGAGCTCCAAGGGGAAAGTGGTTACTGTCACTTCCGAYGACAAAGGCTTCATAAGAGGTGATTCCTAAGCTGGGCCTTGGAAGACATGTAATCCTTCCCCAAACAGACTGAGTGAGGACTGGTGAAGGGCAACTGAACAGGTTTGAAAAGACAAATTACATAAAAGCTAAGAAGTGTAGTCTGGCTGGAAATAGAATTTGTGGCTAGTGTGGTGGGGAAATACAGTGGTGGCTAGAGAAAAGGTAGAGAGAGAGATGAGAGGCCAGTCATGGAACCCCTGTGTATACCAGGTTGTGTTCCACTGGTGATGGAATTGGGAGCCATTTAGGCAACAGAATTCATTTGAAACTTTGGAAAAATCCTTCTCACACAACTAATAAGCTTGCATTGGATGAACCTGGTTCTGAAGACAGGAGGACCTGCTTAAATGACCCTTTTAGCATCGAGGAAAGTGAAAGGAGAGTGTATAGAATTCAGTTTACATGCATGGATAGATGGATAGCTCTTTTTTTTTTTTTTTTTTTTTTTTTGGTGCTGGGGATTGAACCCAGGGGTGCTTTACCACTGAGCTACATCCTCCTCAGCCCCCACCCTTTTATTTATTTACTTTTTTTTTTTTTTTGAGATGATCTCTACGTTGCTGAAGCTGACTTCAAACTTACAATCCTCCTGCCTCAGACTCCAAAGCCAGGCTATCTTCTTTTCAAAAGATTCTTGTAGGCAAAGAAGACAGGTGAGATAGTGGGGTCAGGGAGTCCAGACAGAGGTGGCAGGTAATTATTSTGAGTTAATTATCCAAAAAGATAAAACATTAGAAATGGGAGGGGGGGTAAAAAAATCCTGAGAAACCCTGATACAGGAAGAATGGGTAAAGGAAAGGGAAACCAGTAGAAGAAGCTGAAAACTGGCTGTCCWGGAAGAGGATGCAGCAGGAGAGAGGGCTGTCATGTGCCAGGGGAGGAGGGGATTTCAGAGAAGGGCAGAGGTCACAGGGTCAGCTGCTTGAAGAAGTGGACTAGATGAGAGCTGCAGAGTCCAGGAGGTAGAAACCTGATTGCAGAGGGCTGAAGAGATAGAATGGGAAGTGATGAAGTAAAAATAGAGCCCAGGAGAGAAAAACACCATTGCTGTTACCACATCATTAAACATAATGGTCTTGAGCATGTAAGAGCTGGGGGGCTATCGTCTACGTCTATGTTGACCTGCCAGTGCTTTCACAAGGATTAGCTAACAAAGTGAATGATTTAGTCTTCATTTTTACCTACAAAAATGGAAAATTTAATTACATTAACATTCATGATTATTTGGATATTTATAAAAGAAAATGGTTTATTATTTCTTAGTAGTGAATTCTCATATAGATAGCACAGCTCAGAAATAAGTGGCACAGCATAGTGTCTAATAGTGTTCTGCTCTGGGGCAACCCTGACTGTTTTCAAACACTGGCTTAGCCATTGAGCAATTAGGCCATCATGGGCAGCTTATGAACCTGTGGGAGCCTCAGTTTCCTCATATGTGGATTAAGAGTAACTCTTGCATCCGTATTTCATGAAATTAGCCTTTCTAAAGTGCCTGCAACAGCACATGGTAAGTGCTCCCTAATTGTTAGCTATTATTATTCTCATTGATTACCACTTCATGCTGCACTAGTTAATTCAGAAGATGTAGAAATTCTTCCTACCATCTTTTTTTTTTTTTTTTTTTTTTTTTATTTTAGTCACTAATGTTGGGAATTTTTAAGGAGTTCCACACTAAATAGCTTCCCTCTCTCTTGGCTGGATTCCAAACAAGCACAAATGAAAAATGTGCATCAGTAAGAACCTTAATGCCGTGGACATTACTGGCAGAGGCAGGTTGGAGGATTAGCTTAGGGTGAGAGTTGAGCAGGGCTGTTAATGATGCAGAATCCCCAGTAGTCATGGTCAAAGTAGCTTCCCAAGTGGAAGACGTCACAAGGAAGAGTAGAAAAGAACTCTGTCTGCAGGCCTGTTCTCAGGAGGAAAGAACAGACCCAAACACATCTGTTCCTTCTCCCTATGTTTGCAGAGCAGATTTGTCACTACCTTTACCATGGAATGAGTGAGTGAAAGGGTAGAGAAGAGGCCAGAGTGTGTTTAGTGAGAAAAATCCCTTCCCACAGAGTGGGGGAAAGTTCTCACTAGCAAGTATGTGGAGGCAGCCTTGCCCTGGCCTCCTGCCTCCTTCATCCTTATGCCACTGATTACTAGGGAGCTCCCTGTTCAGCTCTGCTCCTCTGCTCTTTCCTCGGGGTCCGTTAAAGCCCAGTGTACTCCATACACTGGGTTCTTCTGTAACCAGATTCTCCTGTTAATGTTTCTGTTAAGTTCATCCATCACTTTCCCCTGTAATTAATTGAAAGTTGCCCTTTCC